CCGACATCACCTCGAACCTTGAGCAACAACGCACTCGACCGAGTCCTCGCGGCACGACCGTATCCATGCATCCGGAATCATCCAGTTTACGATAGCCACCTCGACGCTCGAACGACGTGTCGACCATTACTTTCCACCTCGACTCGACCGGCGGTCTTTACAGCCGCCCGCGCAGGCGGTGATTGGAGCCGGGCCCGACCCGGCGTCCCTGTCCCGACATGACTGACAATCCCTCAATCGGGACGCGGGACGACGGTACAACCGGAACTCCCGGTACCGCCGAACAACACCCGGCACCCCCGAGGCGTGAACGGCCAAGCTCGCAACGTGTGCAACAAGAACGGATACTCCAGCCTCCTCGGCGCGTCAACCGCCGGCCATCTGCTCGGCCGATAGCCAATGTGGACACCTTGGTACGGAAACTGAGCAGGCAGAACCTGCAACAATTGGAAGAGGCAAACCAGGAGCTGGCACGATCTTCAGCAGCAGCCTCTTCGCGCTCGCAACCGCAGCTCACGAATCCCTCTGCATTGGAACCCGCTCCGAACCGAGAAGGAACATCACGATCGAGCCCTGTCGACACTCCTGTCGTGGAACTTGCTGTTCTGCCCGGCTCGGACGACCCCCTCAACCCTGGGTGTCCCATTGAGATCGACCAGGATGAAATATCGGCGCCCCTTCGCAGCTTGAATGGAGGAGGAGACCCAATGGACGTGCAGTACGATCCTCCACCACGTCTCGAACTGGTCCCTGAAATTATCGAGCACGGCACCATTGAAGCCAGTGCTCTCGAGGTGGATCCGGCATATACCCATGGAGGCCGCGAACCTACGGCAGACGACGAGACGGCCCTGCTCGAACACTTCCGGTCGATGCGACGAGCCATGGTGCCCGGCGGTGCGGTGCGCCGCATCGTCAGCGGCGTCCCGCTGCGATACCGGCTATCAACCGACGTCGCCCTCAGCTGCCAGAATGTGGTGCGGAGCCGGCCGAGGATGAGAAAGAGGTCGAACGGCGAAGATTGGCAAAAGAGATCACGGGCCGGGAGCTTCATGTCCAACTCTTCGGCAGCCCGCTCGGTCGCCTCATCATCGGCCGTCCACCCTACACACTCATCATGCCCGTCGCCACCCATGCCGCCATGCCTCTGACGGGTGTCGGGGCGTGGGGCTTTTCCTATGTGATTTTGATTTTTTCGAGCTGGTTTCAGGGAGCAACGGAACATATACCCCAGTTGTTATTTAGCCTTGTTTATTCTTGCGGATCAGCATCAACCAGGAGTTTTAGGGGGCACAACGGTTACTGTTACAGGAAATATCGGATGGCATGGCACCGCGAGACACACACAATTTGTACAGCATTTAGACCCGGGCGATGGGTTTTCCTTTGGGGTTTCAGACGAGAGCGGGGACGAGACGAGGCAGTTATTGAGTGAGTGGGCTTGGAGGATTGCAAGACTGAATCTACCATCATATCATGTTTGGCGACGTTCGCCACCTTCTATTTCAGGTTCCTGATTGCTCTGCTCTTGTGATCTCGGAGACTCGGACAGGGAGCGTTGGCGGTGTTGTACGGTGTGGATTCGTGGAAGCAAACTCGGAGATGAGTGAGTTCCCCCCTCCCCCCCTTTCCCCTGTTGCGAGCTAACACATGACTGTCGAGGGTCCAGGGAGGGCGACCGAGATATTTCTTTCATTGGCAATGTGTATTCATGGCAATTGCCATTGTACCGTGCCAAGCCGACACCACCACCGCATGGCTGCCTCCATCCGAGCTCAACATTCCAGCTCTCCCCACGCGCCTTTGTCACGACGGACGACGTCTGCACCCCCCAGCTTCGTCTTGCGACAAAGAAAGAGGACGACTTCTTTATCATGGGGGGGGGGGCTCGGTGGAGCTACCCCCTCCCACATGCTGTCGACTGGGCGGGCCAAAAGGGGAGGGTCGATGGTGGTGTGTTTGGGTGGTGTTGGTGATGGAATGGGTTGTTGTGGGAGACGATGCCCCACGCATTCCGGGACCTGCATCGTGCGCATACATATGTCTCGCATCCTTCTACTGCCTCCCCCCCCTCCCGTCTGTTTGGTCTGAAGCTTCCATGCCATCTGTTGCTGTGGCAGGTCGAGCGGGTTTGTTGACTCCTCTGGTTTGTCCCGTCCTCTTCCCCTATCATGGCGACCTGCAGCAACTTTTCGACGCACCACACCAAGCTCAACAATCAACACAACAACAACAGCCCCTACCTTTTTTCCAAGCTTCAGAAAGGCACCGCACGCACAATAGCCCCAGGAACACAGACAGCAGCGACCCCGAGAGCTCAGCAAGACGAGCTCTACCGGAGGACAATGGCCAGTCTCCGGGGCATGCCCTACTCGACGAGCGAGTTCTCCCCGCACGAGAACAAAGCAGCGGCCGACCTCTTTTGGCTCCCGGAGTCTCCCGGCAAGCCCGCTCCCGCCGACTTCTTTGACGAGTTTGTGGTGCTCGATGGCGGCGATTCGACCACGACCTCGACCACCGATGGGGGCGAGGGAGGGGGTCCGGCGAGCGCCATCACGCCACCAGCCGTCTCGCTGCCCGCGGGGCGACATGTCAACATTGTAAGTGCAGTGGCGATGCCCAGTGTGAAGGCCGTGGCTCACCGTGGGTGTAGAAGCAGGAGCCGGATCAGCGGCAGTATCGCCAAGGGCTGGGTGGCCACCCCATGGACGCCCACCACATGGACATGATCGATATGGGCGGTCTGCCTCTGCACTACCACGACATGCTGGGCACGGGCTCCATCTCCGACTCGGAGCTGCTCAAGCTCGAGGGACTGTCGATGCGCTCGCCACGCGTTCACGTGCCGCCCAGCTCGGCCTCGATGCCGCCTTCGCCTCCGTCCATGTCACGGTCGACGAGTCCGCGCAAGGCCGGCCGACTGGAGGCACTCTACACGAGGGCCCGCAACAAGGTGGCCACCTTTCAGGGCAAGCCCAGGGCACAGCAGCCGCAGATGGTGGCCCCGTCGGACATCTCCCGGGCGCAGATGGGACCGGCCAAGTCATCCGGCCGGCCACGGCCAACCGGCAGCAAGGCGCCCTTGTCCCCGCCCCTGACGGTATCAATGCCGGGGGGCATGTCCACAAACTCGACCAGTACCGACGCAGGCTTCATCAACGGGTTCATCAGCGACCCGTTTACCGACGCGCGGCTGCACAACGGAGCCATGCCCAACACGCCCCTCCACACGCCTCTGATGAACGGCGGCTTCGTCACCACCGACAGCACCGCCTCCATGGCCGCCTGGGACATGCCCACCCCCGACATGGCCCAACCCTTCCACGGCGCCCCCCAGCCCGGCTTCTGGTGGGGCGACCCCTTTGCCACGCACCCCAACAACTCGGTCCCGCAACTCGAGATGGAGATGGACATTGACGACCCCGAGTTCTTCAACACGTCGTCCACCAAGCACCTCACCAACATGCCCCCGCACCCATCCTTCTCCTCGTCCTCCTCCAACCTCTCCCTCTCCGGCCTCATGATCCACATGCCCCAGCCGCGTGGCGGCCCGCCCCCGGCCGTCCTCCACCCCCCGCGCCAGCACTACCACTACCCGCCCCCGCCCCCACCGGCCACCGCCACCTCCCCGCGCCGCCTGACCAAGGCCCCGCGCGCCCCCTCCTCCGGCGCCCGGCGCCACCACTACCCCCCTCCCCCCTCCTCGCAGCAATCCCCGCGCAAGCCGTCGTCCTCGTCGCGCCGCACCGCCTCGGGCGGCGGCGGCGGCGGCCCCTCGGTCCCGTCGTCCCCTACCCAGCCCGCCCGCCTCCACCGCCGCAGCGCCTCGATGCAGATGCTCCGCTCCACCGGCGGCGGCGGCGGCTCCGCCGTCCCGGAGCCGTCGACCCCGTCGTCCGCCATCCGCAAGCGCAAGTCCTGGACGGGGCGGCGCACGTCCTCGCATCACCACCAGCAGCACCTGGAAACTACCCTCCTCTCCAACGGCGGCGGGGGAGGCGGCAGCGGGAGCCCGAGGAAACCGACCTCGCGACGGACGCCGTCGCTGCCGGCGATGGGGACGAATTACCACCACCACGGGCACCATCCCTACCATCAGCACCAGCACCAACAGCAGCAGCAGCAGCAGCAGCATATGGACGACGAGGAGCAGGACGAGGACGAGGACGAGGAGGTCGCCGAGGATGGTTTTGTCAATTATACCCCGCAGGACCACAGGGTGCTGATGACGGGGGTCGCGCCCAGCGGGAGCTCCAAGACCAAGGCGAGGAGGGAGAGGGAGGCGCAGGAGCAGAAGAGGAAGCTGGGGGAGGCGGTGAGGAAGGCGGTGGCGGCGGCGGGGGGGGATGTGAGGAAGTTGGAGGAGGGGGGGTGGGGGGTGGGGATTCTGGGGGAGGGGCAGGGGCAGGGGATGGGACAAGGTCAGGGGATGGGGGGGAGGAACGGTGGTGGTGGTGGGGGGGGGAGGTAGATGGTGTGGAGGAAGAGGGGGGAGGTTGAGGGAGGGGAGGTGGTGATGATGTTGGTAATGCTGTTGAGGAGTGAGGGGTGAAAAGGGGGGTGGTTGGAATTGTGCTTGGGGTTGGAGGTGTTGACCGGATTCAAGATTGGAGTTGAAGGTTGTGCTTGGGGAGTTTTGGTCTTTTTTTCTTATTTCTTCCTCCTTCGTTTTGGGCGAGTTCAGAAGATGTCAGATTAGTCAGTTTTGTTTACCAAGAGCCCTTTCTGTTCTGTTGTTTTGGAGTATCAGGAGGAGGTGGCCTTTATTATCTGGTTCGATCTGAGTGATGCGCCGTTGCTGGTATTTCCAGAGTCCAACCAAGATCAGCAGAGAATGAAAAAGAACATCCCCATCCCTTGCTTCCAGCCTGCCTTCTCGAAGCAGTGGAATGCACCACAGGGTCCACAGCCACTGCAGCACCTATGACTCGCCTGCTCGCTCCACTGAATGCCACTCATGGACCCCATTACCGCTACTGTCTCTCATCCAATTCAGCAAAGGACCGCTAGCTCAGTGGTAGAGCAACCGGCTGCAGCGTTCCATTCCCCTCGCCTCGGCGATTCGGTGGAGCAAGTGGTTCCGGTAGGTCTCGTGTTCAACTCACGAGCGGTCCTTCATTTTTGTCTGTCTGCTGTAATCCTTTTTTACTGCTGCCAGGAAGAAGAAGAGAGCTGTATTTTACCACTGCCGCCAACTTTTCGCTCCTGTTGCTTGTACGGGTTCTCTCTTGTCGTCGCAGAAAAGGGAGTTGAGATGGGCTGTCTGGTACACCTTCTGTTGGGAAAATGAATTGCAGCAAACATATATCGCCAACAACTCCCAGCATGATGACGCCGACGATGTTGGTTGAGAGAGAAAAATCACTTGACGACACCAAACACCTGCTTCACCCACTTGTACTCCCCCCCTTTTTACCAGCACTTCGCTCATGCTGATATGTAGACAAAGTGCCCAACCAACAGCCAGCCCCCTCTCCCACCAACATGCACATCTCACACCAAAAGGCATTGCATGAACCAGAATGCATGATTCCATGGGAAAGCCAGTGTATTCCACAAGAATTGCTCCAAATCGCCTTGATTGATATGTACCAACACGCGCCAGATTATACAGCCAGCCACTCCTCCGCCGCCATCTCACGCAACCGACTACCTCTTTTTCCCCTTGGCCACCCTCTTGAGCGCCCGCACCTCCTTCTTCATCCGCGGATCCACCATCTTGTATCTTCCCTTGACTGTCACATACTGTTAGCGCTGAACTGTAGATGCCCGGAAGCAAGAAATACTCACCACCTCTCGGCCGCCCATTGATACCCCGATTCGACCCCGCCGCCTTCACCACCTTTGTCGGCGCGCGCCTCTTCTTCCTCCCCGCCGCGGCAATCATCTTGGCGATGCTGCTCGCCTTGTCCTTCTCCGACAGACCCTCGTCGCCCGCCACGATATCCGCCTTCTTCTTGAGCTTCTCCAGCTTCTGCGCCTGCTTGAACTTCTTGCGCGCGCGCGCCTCGGCCACCTTCTTGATCGGCCGCGCGTTGTATGCCCGCAGCTTCTCCTTGATAGCGTCGGCCGCCGCCTTGGTGATGGGCTTGTGCGGCCGGTCGTGCTTGCCCTCGTCGTCGAGGAACCAGTCGGGGAGGCCGTCGCGGTCCTTAAAGGCGCGCTTGTTGAAGCCGTCGTCGACGAGGTCGTACGACGTGGCTTCGCCGGACGCGAGCTGGTGCGCGAGCGTCATGGCTTCGGCTGTGATAATGTCGATGTCTGCGGGGGTTGGTTAGTGTGGGCTGGGGATGGAACGGGAGGTGGGAAGGGGCTTACTTGGTTTCCCATCCTTGGTACGCTTCTCGTGCTCTTCCCAGTCGTCGTCGGTGTTTTTGGTGTTCTTGACGACCTCGAAGCCGCCGTCGTCGGATTCCTCCGCGTCGGCTGGTGGCGGGGCGGCCTTTTCCTTCTTGGTCTTTTTGGTGGCGGGCTCCTTGGTTGTTGTCTTGGCTTCCACGACTGTCTTTTTGACCTCGACGTCCATCTCCTCGGCTTCCTCGTCGTCGTCAGAGTCCAAGATACCCGGAATGGAGTTGAATATGTCTTGCTTGAAGAACCCAGCAGCGCGCTTGGAGAGCCCATTCGCCTCAGATGGTGTATCGTCCAGGTCTGTGATGAGTGGCTTATCCTCATCCTCAGCATCGCCCTCCTCGTCGCTGCTCTCCTCCTCAAAGCCCTCGAGTTCCTCGTCGTCGCTGTCCTTCTCGTCCGCCGACACACCCTCCCACTCCTCGTCGTCGTGCTCTTGCCTCGCCTTCTTGGCGCGGTACTTGGCATCCGACTCGGCCTTGCGCTCCCTGTATTGATCGTAGAGCTGGTCAAGTTCCGTCTCCAGAGCATCGCCATCCTCGTCACTCTCATCGTCCGTCTCCCCCGAAGAACCAAGGCCCGAGTCGCGCTCTCGCTCCCGCCGCTCGTCGGCCTCGCTGACGACCACCATCTTGCCCTTGGCTATCCGGTTCATGACGTGCGCCTGGTCGATCGTCTTGAGCTTGAACATGGCGCCCTCACCGCGGGGGCCGTCCTGCTCCATACCAATGTCCATGGGCGCCGTCATGTTCATCTGCATGCGGATGATGTCCTTGGTCTTCTTTTCGTTCCCGCGCCTCCTCTCCCGCTTCTTCTTGGAGCTCTCCTTCTCCTTCATCTTTTGGAGGTCCTCCTGAATCTGCATCTCCTCGTCCATTGGTTCGACCACGGCCACCTCCTCGGACAGGGTCGCCGTGTTCTTCTTGGAGGGGAACCCAAAGATTTCCCGGGCCTTCATGCGCCATTTGAGGAGGAGCTTGAATTCTTTGCGACCGAGGACCTTTAAGTCGAGGCAGCACTGGCGGATTTCTGGTGTTGTTTCGGGGAGCTTGTCGAGGGCGGCGAGGGCGACATCTCCGTTGGCGGGTTGGTCAAACGACAGCTTGTTGTACTGGCCGAGGATGGCGATGGGGTCGATGGTGTTGATGAATTCGCTGGCGGGGATCTCCTTGAACTGGATGTCTGTGGGCTATTAGCAGCTGTGGCGCATCGCCAGAAAGGGGGGTACATACAGTCTCCCTCCTCGTAACCATCTCTCTTGCGCTTCTTGATCTCGGGGTTGTACACCTTGGCCTCGTTGTTCGGGGTCGGGTCCGCCAGGTCCTCGAAGACGGAGCGGGGGTCGAGAAGACGGGGGTCGATCTTCTTGGGGGCCTTGAATCCGCGGCAGACGACGAAGATTTCGGCAGAGACGTTTCTCGACGAGGGTGGCTTTGTGGCCTCGACCTTGGTGAAGAGCTGGTTGAAGACCCAGAGCAGGGGGTTGTAGTCTTTGGACCGGAACACCTTGGTCACAAAGGTTCCTCCCTCAATCAAGAACTCGGTGGCCAGCTTCAACGAGTGGAGCACCAGCTCGGCCTGGTTGAACGAATCCTGCACCCAGGCGGTACCGACGTTGGGCGCACCATCGTGCAGCACACAGTCGGCCTTCCATGTCTTGAGATGGCCCCGGATGGTGGCGCGGCACTTTTCCGTCGTGATATCGCTCTGGAAGGTGATGACCTTGGGGATGGGCTTGATGGGCGACAGGTCGACACCGATGATCAAGCTGTTGGCCGGCATGGTCTCGGCGGCAATCTGACACCACGACTACACAGCACACTGTCAGATCATGATATGAAGACATGGACACACAGAGAGGGACACCACATACACCGGGGGCGGCGCAAAGATCGAGCACGACCTTGCTCTTCTCGAGGAAGCCATATTTCTTGTTGAGCTGGATCAGCTTGAAGGCGGCTCTGGCACGGTAGCCCTTTTCCTTGGCGAGCTTGTACCACTTGTCGAGACGGCCCTTGCCGTGCTTCTTCTGGATCGCCATGGTGTCGACTCGGGGTCGGGGTGGGCGATGCGCAGGTGGTGATGCGCTGAATCGACCGTGGAGATGGCGGTGCACTGGTGCAGACGGCGGAAGAGAGGCCGTCGTTGCTGCTGCCCACCAATTTTTTTAGCACTGCTGCAGGGCGATAAGCGATAAGCGTGAAAAGCACCGAGTGGGGTGCGCGAGCTGCGAGGTACATGCGACAGGTACCTGTGGGGCTCGCGTCGGTCGCTGGGTGGTTGGCTGGCGACTGGGATGGCGGCCAGACGTGTCGGCCAATGGGAGCGGGCAATCGCGCTGGAAAGGGAATGGCGCCCATTAAACCCCACGCCAGACGGCGCGTCATTAGGTGCCCCCAGCAGCGCGAGACCGCGTCTTGAAGCGGGCCCTGTGGGCTGGAGCAGCAGGGCCCTGCTGAGCACTGGCACTGCCCTGACCCGGGCTGCCACGGCGGGCCAGATGCCTGCTCACTCTCTTCAATGTCCCAGCAACGACTGGAGACTCACTCCCCTCTTCGTCCCAAGTGCCCAGCCAGCGACAAATCCCCTCTTCCATCTCGTCGAGAAAAGAAATATTGTGTTCGATCGCAGTCGGTCTGAACAAAAACTCAGCGTTGGCATTGTCGACCACATCGCACCTATTCAGCATTCTTGGATCTTGGGTCTGGTGGTAGACGTCGACGACAACCCTCCCCCCATTGTCCACCTACCTCCCCCCGTCCATTGCCTCAATACCCTCGTCCTATTCACCATTCGCCGTCCTCCTTCCTATTGTCGTCTCCCGTATTGCCACGGGCGTCAATAGGCAGGTGCCCTCCCGACCGCCAACAATGGCCGACAAGCAAACATCGGCCACCAAGAGCTCGGCGACTCTCTCTAACAGCCTCTTGTCGTCGCCTCCTCGAGCCCCCAACAGTCGCGGCAAGGAACGCCGAAACCCGTCCATCACCCCCCGCAAATTCCAAAAGTTCTTCACCCCCCGATCCCGAGTCTCGTCCAAGCCCAGCGCCGCCCGCCGAGCCCTCCGGGACCTCGCCGATCCCGCCCTTAACCGGTGCCAGACGCCGTCGAGCCCCCTCAAGGCCGTGTCCGAAGAGACTGACGAGGACGAACTCCCCTCGTACCGGGGCGCAAAGCGAAGAAAGTTCCACCACACACCGAGCAACGTCCCCCACTCGCTACCCTCGCCGTTGAATACCTCGCCAGCCATCCTAGCGACCCCCGGCACCCGGCCAGGTCTGCAGAGCCCTATTCAGTCTCTTCGTTTGCGCCGACCCGCCCGCGAGATTCTGGATGAAACAGACGAGTCGGAAGCAGAGGAGGATGAAGATGAACTGCCCGGGCGGTCACCCGAGTACAGGAGACCGGTACAGCTGGGTCGTCGTGGATTCGAAGGCCAGATTCTCCAGAGGATGACGGGTGGCAAGTCGCGGACCGTTGACCGGGATCTGCCTCATCCCATAGCTGGTGAGTTACCTCTTCCTCCCTCTTCTGTCTCTTGTTCAGTTACTGACAGCAGTTTTGCAGATTGGCGAAACGAGACGGCAAACTTTTATAGTAAACCTGAAGATTCTCACTTCTGTACCAGCCATGAAAACAAACCCCAGACCATCCCGTTCTGCGTCACCAGCTGTCATAGTAAGCCAGGAAAGGCCCCTGAACATCACTTACCGGAGACTGACTTTATACAGAGAACAGCCTGGTCGCCGTCGGTGACGAGGAGG